CCCCAAAACCCCAAAACCCCAAAACCCCACTTAGCTTAAATTTGCAAATTGTCTAAATTATAAGAGTTAAGTCGCAAATTATTATTTTTATATTCAATATTTAAATTTAGGTGGAATAACTCCATCTGATCCTTGCAGATTCTAGAAACCATTTGATCCATGGCCTAATCCTCTGCTTGAATTGTACATGCTATTATTAAGATCACTGACGCTTAGACTATAATCATGTTCTTCAAGCTCACCAGGAGATCTGAAATTCGAACTCGTCCTTCCAGCATATTAGCTTGGATGAGCTCCTGGACCTTGTGTACTTCTCATACTTTGCTTTTAGTGTCTAGCATTATCATTCAAGTTGCCCTAAGATCCGTTTTTAGTGGCATATGTGTGATTCATACTTTGAGCAGCTGATTGAAATTATCTTTAAGAAGAAATATCATTGTGCTGGCTTGCTCCTAAAGACTATTATAGCTTCGACTTAATCTCAAATATTTCTTTCTCTAAATCTTCATAGGCTTTCTCTAAATTAGGCTGGGCTCCTCCAGGTCTTTTAGAAGTTTTGACGGTATCCATTGGTGAAGTTTTTGATAGATCAAAATTTTAAGTTAGTTCAGATCCATGGTTATTAGTCATTTGCGTCTAGTATTATCGATCACTAGACTAAACTGCCCCACCAGATTTATTTGTAATAGTCATATTTTCAAGTCTATCTCTCTATCTTTTGAGTACTTCTTCAAGCTTATTGATGGTATCATCTCTGCTACCACCTACTATATTTGAGCTATCAGAATTAGTATCCTTTAAATTTTTCTTAATTTTCTCAATTTTGTCTTGCAAATTGTGATCCATAACTTCATCATCACTCTCATCCTAGTCTTCATCTTCACTTTCCTCATCCTCTTCATCATCATACTCGTCTTCATCTTCAGAATCTAGTTATTATCTTTTCTCACTGCTCTGACCTCTAGATCTCTTAGATTTGTTACTTCTCTGTTCTTAGCTGTTCCCACTGCTAGCTAATTTTTCATTGACATTATACTATTATGAATTAGGCTGCTTAATATCAACCTTAGTGTTATTATCAAATCTAACACTCTTTTATGGGGAAATAGTATTATTTTTCTATCTGCTGTCATTAGTGAAAGTAGCAGGAGGTAGATCTTTTCTACATTACTCATCCATAGCTGGATACTTATCGAGATACTTGCTTGAACTAAAATTCTCATTAAACAGATTGAGTCCTCTTGGTTGCATCATTGGATCTTCTTGGTACTCTGGAGAGCTCTAATAATCGTTTCCATATCCTTGTATACTATTATTGTTATTACTTCTCACAGGTGACTCTTCCTCTCTCATTTGAATCGATAGCACCAATCTCTTTTCTGGCAGTCTCTCTTGTTTTTGTTCTGATTCTGGAATGTATTAATCTTCTATTCTAGGAATAGGAGAGCTTTAAGACTCTTTACCTGGAGAGATACTGTATTATCCTGTATTATTGTTATTCTTACTGAATGGATGCTTGTCAAATAATGATTATACTGAGGGATTTCTCAATGGAATTATTCTTTTAGTTCCACCTGGACTAACTTCATTTACTCGCTAGTTTTCTAGCAACTCTTGTTACTGCTTTTATGACATATATTACTGATATTCTTATTCTTTTTATTTTGCTTCAATATCCATCAATAATTCTTGATTAGCTTGATAAAGTAGATTTTATTGCTAGAATACATTTCCACCATTGTAGTTTTCCTTATCATTGAAAGGCATCATTCTCTCATCCATAGTTTAAACGAAAGTTTAGTTCCTTGGTTCCTTAAAGCTGTTTGAATTAAGAGTCAAAGGTTCCTTGCTATAAAATCCATTTTATACCAGAGTAGTATTTTTCAAAGTCTTTTCTGTTACCAATGGTGGGAAATTAACTTGTAATTAAGGCATGAAATTTGGATCAATAGTTTAATTATGGAAAGATAAGGGGTGATCAAAGTCGGTTCTATAGATAAAGTCTTTGATATAAGCATTTTATTAGGTTGTTGTGTGATAGTCCTTTTGTTTGTTGAATATATCATTGTATGGGTCGAGACTTCTTAGTTGACTTTAGGTTTGATTAGATTGCAGAGAATTAGTGTAGAATGTTGGATTAAGGTTCAAAATAGGATCTTTACTTTTATTATCCATCATGCCTAGTGTTCTTAAATTATCTAGGTATTACTATGGATAAGGCTGACTAAAGAAAGATGAGATTTCGTATTTTTCATTAACTCTTGGTACTTCTACTAAATTAGAGGGCATTTTGGAAACTTTTATAGTAGCATTATCATCATAAAACTAATTAAGCATATCTCTAGTAAATGCTTAAGGCTAACCATTAATGTCTTTGAAAACAGCAGCTTATTATCTCATTGATTGTTAGGCTATTGTTTGTTATCTTGTGGCTAGTTAAGGCTAAGCTTTGACTTGATAGTAATTGGAAGCCTTGGTATGATCAGACATATTTTTACCATTAAAAACATTATTATTGTGAGAAATCTTTTCATGCTTTTGAGCTAGAGTTTGATAATGCTTATTTGAAGGTTTCAATTCAGTTGCTTTGTTGGATTTAGATTCTTTTTTGCATTAAGTGGTGTGTTTATTAGCTGGAACTCTAGTAAATGATTGTGATTAACTTGATGTTTAAGTCTTCATTTTAAATTCTTAATTATTATTTGAATTTGTAAAATAAATCGTTATCTCCAGATTGCGGGGTTTTGGGGTTTTGGGG